TATAGAAGGATCCTGACAGACTTGAACATTGGGCATTATCTAACAAAATGAAATTCAATGGTGAAAAAAGTAAAGTTCTACATTTAGGCAAGAAAACCAAACGTACAGGTACAATTGGGGGGAGTACCTCGCACCATAGTAGTAACTATGGGAGGGATCTTGGAGTCCTAGTGGACAATCACTTAAATATGAGCCAGCAGTGTGCTGCAGCTGCCAAAAAAGCCAACACAGGCTAGGCTGCATTAACAGAGGGTTAATGCAGATTAATCAAGATCACGTGAAGTATTAATACCACTTTTCAATGCCTTGGTAAGGCCACACTTGGAATATTGCATCCAGTTTTGGTCATCACGATGTAAAAAAGATGTTGAGACTCTAGAAAGAGTACAGAGAAGAGCAACAAAGATGATTAGGGGACTGGAGGCTAAAACATATAAAGAACGGTTGCTGGAATTGGGTTTGTCTAGTTTAATGAGAAGGACTAGGGGTGACATGATAGTAGTGTTCCAATATCTCAGGGGTTGCCACAAAGAAGAGAGAGTCAAGCTATTCTCCAAAGCACCTGAAGGCAGGACAAGAAGCAATGGATGGAAACTAATCAAGGAAAGAATCAGCCTAGAACTAAGGAGAAATTTCCTGGCAGTTAGAACAATTAATCAGTGGAACGGCTTGCCTCTAGAAGTTGTGGGTAGTCCATCCCTGGAGGCTTTTAAGAAGAGACTGGACAGTCATTTGTCCAAATTGGTACAGGGTCTCTTGCTTGAGAGGGGTTGAACAAGAAGACCTCCAAGGACTTTTCCAACTCTGTTACCGTGTATTATCACTTTAGTTATCAAATACTGAAGAAGCAGATAGGATTTCAGACAATCAAAGTAGTATTTTAAGATCTGTGTAATAATTGCATGTGCAGTACAAAGAGTTTGGTACAGATAAGCCACCATTTGAGGGCATTTGGAAATCTGAAAATAGTTGGGTCTTGCCCTCAGAATGGCCACTTGGAGAGAAGAGCTAAATTAGTCAAAACATACCGTTTAACCAGAAAACCTACAAGTGAAGATGTTCTAGCCCCCTGGGATGCCCCCACCTCCTCCAGCCTATTTTTAGCTATTTCTTCTAAAAAGGAATTAATAGAGCATAGCGCTAAATGCTTAGTTACACTCGGTTACCTCTCTCTCTCTCTCTCTCTCTCTCTCTCTCTCTCTCTCTCTCTCTCTCTTCCTCTCTCTCTCTCCTCCTCCCTCCCTCCCTCCCTCCCTCCCTCCCTCCCTCCCTCCCTCTCTCTCTCTCTCTCTCTCTCTCATGCCCTTTCAGCTGAAACCTGTACATGTCTCAGCCTGTAGAGGAAGTAAGAAGGGTGTTTGTTTGGTGATTTCATGGAAATAAGAATGGGGGGGGGGCAGGAGGAAGAAAATTGACTAGAATAAGCATTTTATGCTTGACAACAGATGATCCCTGAAGTCATTGCTGTCCTGCAAAAAAAAAAAAAAGCTTTCAACGTTGTGCCAGTACATGTTTAAACATGGAATCCTTAACAACAGCCTGACATGGTACATAAACTTGAAAAAGACCCTCCTATCATTTAAGGCAGAATAAATGGAAGCTGTGCCTATCAGAGAACAGCCTGCATTGGACCCTTTGCTATTACTCATAAGTTAGGGGTTCCCAACCTTGGCCACTTTATGACTTGTGGACTTCAACTCCCAGAATTCCTCAGCCAGCCATGCTGTCATAGGTATTGTAGGAAGAAAATAGAAGAGGCCATTTGGACAGAAACCTCAATATCAAAGGCATTGTGCTTTTTCCTCTTTTTAAAATATAGTGTTCCAATATACACTTATACCTCTTTTTAAAATATAGTATTCTAATACACACACACACACACACACACACACACACACACACACACACACACAGGTCTTTGGTTATTCGGGTTTTCTCCCGCGTAAAATTGAAAATGTCTTGGCGACGTTTCGACGAAGTCTCATTCGTCATCTTCAGGCTGGTGTTTTCAGCTTCGTACTTCGTGCATGGCTGGCTCAGGAATTCTGGGAGTTGAAGTCCACGAGTCATAAAAGAGCCAAGGTTGCCTACCCCTGTGCTAGATGAATAGAAGCTGAGGCAAGTGATGGGAGCCCACCTCACAGTGCTAGGACTTGAACTTGAGGTCATATGATTGCTATTTGCAACCTTCCCAGCCAGCTTCTGACAAACAAAGTCAATGCTGGATTCACTTAATAACAGTATGGATTCACTTAACAATTGCAATGATCCGCTTAACAACTATGGCAAAGCAAGATCATAAAGTCAGGCACAATTCACTTAACCACCACCTTGCTTAGCATTGGAAATTTTGGTCCCAATTGTGGTCATAAAGAAAAATTACCTGTACTCACATAGCACACTGCATAATCCAATGTACTACATACTTATCAGATGGGTTGGGTTTGTCCATCTTGTTAAGCCATCCCAAAAAATCAGGGATTAACAGTGAAACTTCCCTTGTTCAGTATATTGAGCAAATGGGCTTGCAAAGTCATTACTAATCCAAGTGTGTTGGCGTTTCCTAAGCAAGGAAGCAATAAATAAAATATTTCCAAAATGTTGCAAAAGAACAGATGGCCATTTCATTGTTTTAAATAAGCTATTAACATCCACCTCATTAAAGCAAGATTCAATTAGAAAGAAGATCAAAGCCAACAGAAGAGGGCCTTCCTTAGCATAACTCACTGATACAAATCTTTTGGAATAGAATGGCCTTTTAATTATTCCTTTTTTCCTTGCAGTAATTCTGCCTAATCAGACTTCGTAGAAGAACTTTATTGTCTTGGTTGTGGGCTGCTGTGTGAGACTTAACACTAAATGTGTTGTGCATGTGGGAAAAGGGGACGCTTATCCTATAAATCTACTATCATAATTGTGATAGAAATACAAACAAGAGTTTGTATGAAAAATAAGGCATGCTTTTTGTTTGTCCTCCAGCAGAAAAATGTAGCCTGTTTGGGGGGTGAATTAAAGAGTAAAACAGGGTAAGCCTTGCAGATACTCAAAACATACATTTTACTACACATTCCTATGAAAATCAGGCCTATTTTTATTCCCATCCCTGTTTACTTCTGGAGTGCTGCCAAGAACATGCCACACAAGGCTAGCATGGGCCTCAAACCAACAGAAATTTGAGCCCATATAAACCATATAAACCTGAATTAATCAACAAGAATTTCCCTTCCTTTTTAGCCGCTCAGAGTTTCCTCAAACCATGAGATGGGCAGCAAATAAATTTAGTGTTCCCAAACATCCAAAAACAAATGTCAGGAACCCATGTATGCTTTCTAGTGCAGTGGTTCTCAACCTTTTTAATGCCGTGACCCCCCACCCGGTCGTAAGTCGAGGACTACTCAACTGGTCGTAAGTCGAGGACTACTCAACTGGTGCAGCACCGTTTGCAGAATGGGACTTTTGGCGGGCTCAGCAGGGCAGAGACAGCCTGGACAATTCCTATTGGCTTTTGAAAGCCAATAGAATTAGACTCTATTCAAGAGAGTCTATTCTATTGGCTTTCAAAAGCCAATAGAATAAAAGGGAGTAGCACAGCTAAGGAAAAGGGGGGAAAAAATGGCGGACTGCATTGTTTGGCAACCCCGGTGAAATGGTCGTTGGACCCCAAATGGGGTCCCGACCCACAGGTTGAGAACCACTGTTCTAGTGCCATCATCTGCAGCACAGAAGAACAGTAATTAAACACCCTCTTCTTGCATGTGTTAATGATGATCACTAGGACCCCCATTTGAATAAAACTCACCTAAAATGAAGGATAGGCTGAAGGAAACGCCAAAGTTTGAAGAAATCCATGTGGCATCCTTGTTAAAGAGTAGCCCTTTTTGGTGAACATGTGAGGAATACTATATCCATCCATCCATCCATCCATCCATCCATCCATCTATCTATCTATCTATCTTCTGTGCCGCCCATCTTGCCAAGGCGACTTTAAGCAGCTAACTATCCTGCAATTAAAATACTGTATAAAACATTAAAATATTAAAAACAATAAATAAGAACATACATTCAAACATTCAGAAAAATGAATTTTTACTCGCTTTCACAAATGTTGTGAAAGTGAATGACGTAGAGCAAGGGTCCTCAACCCCCAAGGCCGTAGCCTATTACTGGGCCGTGGCCTATTCCAAGGTGGACCGGTGTACGTGCACACTTGCAGTCCACTCACACAAGTGGTGCCTCAAATGCTTGTTTCTTGTATGAGTGGAGCTGTGTGGCACATATGCACACCAGCCTGCTGCTCGCACAGCCTGGTTCCCTTCTCCCCACTCCCCAAGCTGGGCTGCCAAGCTGCCTGCTCTCGTTGCTTCAAAAGTGGAGCAGTGAGAGCAAACGCTGAGTGGAACGGGCACGCCCGGCTCAGCTTTGCTGACTCATTGAGGCTGCCTGCATAGGACACCCAATCCGTGTTTGGAGGGTTGGGTAGCCTCTGTGAGTCTGAAGGACCATGAGACTGCTCCCCCAAAGGCTTCTCCGCGCCAAAAGCTTTTGCAAATGGACGAAAGGCTTTGGGGGAGCGATCTCATTCTGCTTCAGGCCTTCCATCCCTTTGCAAAAGCTTTTGGCATGGAGAAGCCCGAAGGAATGGGAAATTGTACCCCAAAGGATTCTCTTCTCTTTTGCATGAGTGGAGTTGTGAGTACATGGCCCTTTTCTCTCCCCCCCCCCCCAGCCAGGCCGTCAAGCCGCAAAGGTTGGGGACCACTGACGGAGAGTACTTCTGAAGCCATTGGCTGATTGTAAATGGGAACAGGAGTTTTTGTGTTGCATTACTCATGATTCATGTATTCTTACGAATATATCAGTCTTCCTTATTACTTAATTTCAGTCCTCCTTATTACTTAATTAAACCGCAGCTGTATTGTTGCTTACCCATATCGCAATTATGACTCGACTCACTATTTAGTGAAACAATCTGATTGTACCTCTTTCTCTCTCCTCTACAGGCTGGCCCATCACTTTATCTACCCTCAAGCAATTGTTCAGCCCAGCATGGTGATCCCAACTCCTGTCCAGTCCATCACTTCTCCTTACATAGACTACACAACTGCAAGCCAGGCCTATTCGCAGTTCACCACTGCTGCCTACGACCAGTATCCCTATGCTCCTTCTCCTGCTGCTGGCTTTGTGGGATACGGGTACACGGGTGCCATTCCTCAACATGCCACGGCTGCCGGTCTACCAATAGCAGCACCCACAACTTTTGTGCAGTATCCACCGACACAGCTGCAACCAGACCGTATGCAATAGAAACCCATCTTCAGAAAGACCTTTCTAGCTATGAAGGAATGCAAAGACATGGATGCCGAAAAAACAAAGGAAAACAATAATATTTTTTTTTTAAAATCAAGCTTTTGTAAAAAAGAAAAATTGATCATATTAGGAAGGATGCATATCAATACCTAAGCTATTTATAGTGTTACAGACTTTTTAAAACATCCTTGCCAAAAAAAAGACTTATACTTACAATGAACGTTAGAAAGCTCTTTTTTCCATCTTTCCCTCTCTTTCTTTTTATCAAGACAGATATTATTGCAAAGATAGACTAAAATGATCCCCCTGTGCTTAAAGTGAAAACTTGCAAACTCTTGAACACTTCCTAGCAGTTTACTTCATCACCAGCCATTTTCTGCTTTATTACTTAAGTTGCTATGCGCCATCAGACTGTTGCCATCTGTTATTTAGCCTTTTGCAAAACGTATTTGGAGAATACATAGATGGGGGGGGAGAGGAGAGAGCAAGTTTTGGGGGTCAAGGGATGGGAGGATCCTTCTATTGAAAACTTTGTAATAATCAAATGCCTTACAGGAAAAAAAGGGCCTATTTTAATATTTATTGTGATCTCTCTTTATTCACAGGAGCTGTGAATTGCAGGTGAAAACTATAGTAATATCTGCCTTGTCTAATATTCACACCTAAATTATTGTATGTTGGGGAGTTCTAAATTGCTTTCAACATGCAAAAGTAATATTGGCTTTAAGGACGGTGCAATATTCAAGTCGATGCACTGCATTTTTTCTTATTGTAATTGTTACTCTTTTAAGATTATCTCAAAGTTTTAGGTATATTTTTAAAAGCAAGAAAAAATATTGAGCATATTGTCTACTTTAATAGATCTTTTGTTTATGATACTGCAGGTCTAGAGAAATTTTACAGTATTTATATAAAAGCTAAGCGGGGTCTTAGACCAGCACTGTTTAGGAGAGCGTCAGGAATAAATAAGAGCTCTATCATGGTGTTACACACTTGAACAAGAAGAGTTGAAAAAGTTACATTTTGACACCCAGTGGTACAAAGTGCTGATTAGGTAAAAGGCAGTGTAGGAAGTGCATTTTTACAAGGAAGAGCAATAAACTATTTTGAATTTTAAGACATCATTGTGTTGTGCTTGGCTATCTTATGAGATAAACTGGGAGACAACTGTGGGTTGCCACATCAATGGACTCTATATCCTGACGGCCTTGAATTAGAGTGCTCTGCTTTGTGCATCCTCAACTATGTTAGTTACTAAGGTACAAAATTTTACTGAAGGTCAGCCTTTGTTGGGTGTAACAATATAACAGTGACACTATTCACATTTTTCCTCTTTACATTGTAGGGGGTGGGGTGGAGGGGAGATGGCCTTTTGCAAAACAGGACCATCTACCAGCCAATGATAGCTTATGAAGCCTTAGTAAGGCCACACCTGGAATACTGCATCCAGTTTTGGTCACCACATTACAAAAAAGATGTTGAAACTTTGGGAAAAGTGCAGAGAAGAGCAACTAAGATGATTAGGGGCCTGGAGACTAAAACGTATGAAGAACAGTTGCAATAACTGGGTATGGCCAGTCTAAAGAAAAGAAGGACTATGAGTTACACGATAGCGATATTCCAGTATTTGAGAGGCTGTCACAAAGGAGGTGGCGCAGCAGTTAGAGTGCAGTACTGCAGGCCACTTTAGCTGACTGTGTTCAGCAGGTCAGCGGTTCAAATCTCACCCGCTCAAGGTTGACTCAGCCTTCCATCCCTCCGGGGTAGGTAAAATGAGGACCCAGATTGTTGGGGGCAATGTAAATATATATACATTGCTTACTGGTATACACCGCTTAGAGAGTGCTTGCACTTAAAGCGGTATATAAGTCTCATAAATAAATAAATAAAGGAGGGGATCAACTTATTTTCCAAAGTGCCACATGGGAAGAGAAGAAACAATAGATGGAAACTAATCAAAGAGAGAAGCCACCTAGAATTAAGGAGAAACTTCCTAACAATGGGAACAATTAACCAGTGGAACAGCTTGCCTTCAGAAGTTGTGGGTGCTTCATCAGTGGAGGCTTTTCAGAAGAAACTGGACATTTACTTGTCTGAAATGGTAGGGTCTCTTGTTTGAGCAGAGGGCTGAACTAGAAGACCTCCAAGGTCTCTTCCAGCTCTATTCTGATTGATTGAATGATTGAAAGACCAGTAGACCTATCTGAAACCTAACCCACTTGCCCTGTTTATCTATAATGAAGACAGGCCAACCACGGAAAGTCAGAAAAACACCTGCCTCCATTACAAACTTCTCCAAGAAACTGAAGGAAATCCGTTTTAAAGTTACCTGATTTATATCCCACTTTTCCTGTAAAAGCTCAAGGTGGCATATCTCCTTTTTGTCCTCGTAACAACAACCCTGTGAAATAGGTTGGAGTGAAAGAAAAAAATGTAAAGTAACTTGTCCAGAGAGTTTCTATGGCTGAGAATCTACTTGCACTTGAGTTTCTCCAGTCCCAGCCCAATATCTTAATAACGACATGAATGAAGGGGAAACGTCCTTCAAAAATTAATGAGATTAGTTTACACAGCCCAAAACATGTGGCTTTTGCTTTCAGATAAGTAGAGGAAAACTGAACAAGGTAAATGCATTTTGCATTCTGCCGCCAGATTTTCATTGCATTTGTAGGATTGCTGCAGTGGCAGGAAGGCAGAGAAGAAACCATGACTTAGTGTAATATGTGAGCAATTTAGGATATAAGCAGATTGGTCTCAGATAGTAGGCAACAGGCTATGCGTGGCTGCCAGAGGATGCAAGCAATATATTAATGGCAGGTAGGATGTCCTTGGCTAAGCCAGGAGGAAATTCTTGCAGTCCTGCTTGGGTTCAGGCATTGCAAAGAGCCATAATGTGGTTTTACCTTAGTGTGTTATATGAAACTACCAACAGTCAATGTGTGGTACTAGCTATGATTTATGGTTTCATGCAGAAAAGCACAATTGGAGGGCCCAGACAGGTATCTGCTTGGTGGTGGACACCATCTTGGCTTTTTTGAAGTCCACCCCTACAGATACCCCTGGTCCCCAGGCTGCATGTATCCCCCAGTTATCCAACTGTAATTGTCATTATGACAAGGTGAACATGGTTAAATACCTGAGTGGAGATAATCATCTTAATATATTTAATTTTAAATCCGCAGACTCAAATTTAATTTTTTTGTTGACTCATCGCTTGCTTTTGGAAATCAGTTTCTTAGTACATCATATCAAACCTTAACTTAGAAAAAGTTAATGACTTCTGATTTTAGAGCAAAGCATCAATTCAGCTAATGATTTGTTTGGTATCTTTGGTTGCTGGCTGGCTCATCGCAACCCAATTTCTGAGAATGTGCTTTATGCTACCTTCAGCTACTTGGTAGAAGGACAGGCTACAAAGTAAGAGGCAACATGAACATTATTCCCTGGCATTGTGGAGCTCAATCATTTAACCCCCCCCCCAAATGTTTGATCACAAAAATCCTGTAAAATACATCAGCAACAGTAGCCCCAAATGCTCGCTAAATTTCTGGGGCTCAAGTTCCCCAATTCTGGGTGGTGCAGTGCCTCAGCGATTTAAGATGCTGGATTTGTCAGCTGGAAAGTTGGTAACCAGATTTGAGAGCCAAGTGCCACACAACAGGTTGAATTCCCGTCCTTGTCCAGCTTCTGCCAACCTAGCTGTTTGAAAGCATGCAAGTGTGAGTAGATAAATAGATACTGCTTTGGTGGGAAGGTAACAGTGCTCCATGCTGGCCACACGACCGTGGAAATGTCTTCAGACAGTGCTGGCTCAATGGCCTTAAAACAGAGATGAGCACCAACCCCTATAGTGGGCAACGACTAGTAGAGTCACTTACTCCCCAATCCTTGTCTATTTAGCCATTACAGGTATTCCTTAGCTTATAATCATTCATTTAGTAATTGTTTGAAGTTATAACAGCACTGACCAGTATTCAGCCTCTTTAATTCAATGCAGAAACAGACCAACAATTAGAACAGAGCATCATTAACAGGCTGTAAAGTTCATCCCGCTTATTAAAAAAAACATTTAAAAAGAATCTTTGTAGCTTGGTTGGGGGGTTCAGTGAATTTGGGGGAAGGCAGTTTTACAACAGGAGAGCAGTGAAGAGGGAAATTTCTCCATGCGTTTTGTTGCTGGGTTATTTTGATGGATGGGATTGTCAAAAGACCATTCATGATGAACAGGAAGATTATGCTGAAATGAAGAGAACAATGTAGAAGGAATGCTTATCAGGCAGTAACAGGGTATTCTGGCAAGGGCAATTCTAGCCTGAGATGGTTGGCAAGCGAGCCAGCTGGTGGCTGCAGAGGAGTCGTTGATCAGCATAGCTTCAAGCCATAACTTTTCAACAATTCCATGAAATGGAAACTCCCAGCTTCCATTTTTTTCTTTAATCAGCGTAAAATCTCCAAATCATGTTAAACTCATAGAGACTTCAAAGGCACAATCCTGCAATTTTCTTCTAGGGATATGATTTCTCATGACTATGCTTGCAGTCCTGGGATTTCCTAATAGGCTTCCAATCAAGTACTAACCCTGTTTACCTTATACATTCATTGAAGGTTATCCAGGTCCTGCCACTTGATGAGGCAATAATGTGTTATGGTTCCGGCTAATGAAACACTTCAAAGAACTTCCAGGCATATTTTCCTAAAAATCATTTATTGTTACAAAATGTCGGCACAGGCATAACGGAGGTATGCCAAGATCTAAATTCTCTTCCCCTGAGCAATTAAATTATCAGCATGTTCCCTCCCTAAATTAGCTGTCACATATCACATTATCCAATTAGTGTGAAGGTCAAAGGTTTCCTTCCTCTCTCTTTCCCGGGCTTTTCCCTCCACCCTCTTCTGCTCTGCATTAACTCTAAAAATACCAGATAGTTCTGCATATTGTCAAAGCAAGAATATACAGTATTTGCAGTGTTGACATCATGTTTTATAGTGGATCTTTAGAATGAATATTAATAGATCTGCTTAATTGACACGGAGGGGAGGAATTGCTAATACTTTAGAAGAGAGGCTCAAGATTCAAAAGGATCTTGATAGACTTGAACATTGGGCCCTTTCCAATAAAAAGTGGGGAGAAATATAAGGTTCTGCACTTCGACAGGAAAAGAAACAGAGGAACAGGTACCAGCTATTACCTGGTTTAGGAGTAGCATTTGTGATCTGTGTCTCTTAACAAAATAACAGAGTTGAAAGGACCTTGGAGATCTTCTAGATCTAGTCCAACCCCCTGCTCAAGCAGGAGATCCTATACCATTCCAGACAAGTGACTGTCCAATCTCTTCTCAAAAGCCTCCAATGCTGGAGCTCCCACAACTTCTGAAGGCGAGCCCTTCCACTGGTTAATTGTTCTGTCAGGAAATTTCTCCTTACTTCTAGGTTACTCCTCTCCTTGGTTAGTTTCCATCCATTCCTTCTTGTCCTGCCTTCTGGTGCTTTGGAAAATAGGTTGACCCCCTTCTTGCAGCCCTCCCCAATATTAGAATGCTGCTCATCCAAATTAGAATGACCCAGTGATGTGACCCAGCTGGCAAGAGATCCAATGCCATTTGCATTAATAAGGGTATAGTGTCAATTTCATGAGAAGTGATCGTATTGCTCTATACTGCACTGGTCAGACCACATCTAGAATGTTGTTTCCAGCCCTGTGAAAAAGATGAGAAACTGGAAAAATGCAGAGAACAGTGAAAAGATGGTAAGGGGGTTGGTGGCTAAATCCTACAAAGAGCAATTGAAGGAACTTGGCATGTTTAGCCTAAAGAAGAAAAGAAGGACATGACAGCATAATTCCAACAGATAAAGGGATTTCATAAGGAAGAGGGTGTGAATTTATTCCCCATAGGGTTAAGCAAGGAGCAATAGATGGAATCTTGAAATAAGAAGGAATTTCTTGTCTATTAAGCAATGGAACCTGAAGTTGTGAGTGCTCCCTCAGTGGAGGTCCTCAAGAGAAAATTGGAGAACCATTTGTCTTGGAAGGTATGAAGATAACTGCACTGGGCTGGACTAAAACACCCCCCCCCACACACACACATAATTGCTTCCAACTGAAATGAAGTTATGATTCTATGAATTATAACTACCTTGTAAATAACACTGCATTCATCAAGAGGATTGTTTCTCAATTTCTCCTTCGCTGTGAAGGAATAGTAATAGTAGTAAAGTTGGAAGGGACCTTGGAGGTCATCTAGTCCAACTCCCTGCTCGGGCAGGAAACCCTACACCATTTCGGACAAATGGCTGTCCAGTCTCTTCTTAAAAACTTCCAGTGTTGGAGCATTTACTGCTTCTGGAGGCAGTTCCACTGATTAATTGGTGTCAGGAAAGTTCTATTCCCCATCAGGGTTATAGCAAGGAGCCCCAATACTGCTATGGAATCTTGAAATAAGAAGGAATGTACTCTCTGTCTATTATGCAGTATTCCAAGTGGACCCTGAAGTTGTGAGTGCTCCCTGGCAGTGGAGGCTCCTACTAGGAGAGAGTTACTACTATTGAGATGGTGCCACCTATGCTGTACTTGTGCATTTGGTTTTTCTTCTTGGAACCTTGGTCATTTTGTTAGTTAGTTCAATAGATCCTTCTGTATCACTGGGGCTTGGTGACAAATTTGATGAATCTATCCCTTCATCCACCTGGGCCAGAACAGAGCCCCCACACTACACACTTCCCTCCATATAGATGCAGTTCCATTACCACTCGCTGAGTTCAGCCAGCTACGGATCCATCTGGTGGTGGTTCTGATTTTTCTATCTTGTCAAGTAGTATGATCTACTTTATCAAATGCCTTACTGAAGTCCAAGTAAATTATGTCCACAGCATTCCTCTGATCCACTAATTTTGTCACTTGGTCAAAGAATGCAATAAGATTTGTCTGGCATGATCTATTTTTGACAAACCCATGTTGGCTTTTAGTAATGACTTTGTTTGCCTCTAGGTGTTCGTTGATTCGTTGTTTGATTATCTTTTCCAGGATCTTCCCAGGTATTGAGGTCAGGCTGATAGGTCTGTAATTTCCTGGATCCATTTTTTTTCCTTTTTTGAGGATGGGAACTACATCAGCTCTTTTCCAGTCCTCTGGTAGTTCCCCTGTGTTCCAGGATCTTTGAAAAATATAGTTTGAGATCTACTTTCTTCCATCAACTGAATGTGATGTTGTTAAAAAAAACAAAACAAATACAGAAGAATTTCTATGACCAGCACTAATCCTTGTGTTACCAGAGAGAAAATGCTAACAAAACTCACTCCCTTCTTCTCTACCCTCTTTGTATCCTGTATACTTTTGCCAACTGAGCAATTTGCTTGTTCCAAAGCAACCCTCCCACCTTTAAAACAAAAACCTACTGAAATCATTTGAATTACACAACTAATTTAAAGGAAATGCCTCTCCTAGAGCAACACAGAAAGAGGGATAGTGTGTGCATATTCATGTGCGTGCATGCAACCAGATCATGCCTAGAAGTTTCTGCTTTCTGTGATAGAATACTCTCTCATTCTTATCTATTGCTTTCCAGCTCATAGGATGTGCTGATCTCTGTCTGGTCAGGAGTTGTAATATTTTGACTTTAATTAGTCAAAAAAAGCATGTAAAAGACAGAAATCACCAGCAAGATGGTTTTCAGTGTGATATATGGCAAAATAATTTGGAAAAGATCATTTGAAAAAAAAAATGCTCTGGGGGGACCTAGAGATAAATGCAAAGACTGGACGCTTTGTTAATGCAGATAGTCCTTGACTTACAACCATTCATTTAGTGACTGAAGTTACAACAGTCCTGAAAAAAGTGATGTTTTCCACACTTACAACCGTTGCAGCATCCCCTTGTTCCCATGATCAAAATTGCACTTGGCATGAATTTAAGGCAGGGCTCACGTGATCATCATTTGTAACTTTTCCAGCTGGCTTCTGACAAGCAAAGTCAATGAGAGAACGAAGATCCACTTACCGACTATATGAGTCGCTTAACAATAGCAATGATTCATTTAACCACCATGGTAAAAAAATGGTCGTAAAATGAGGCCAGCTCACTTAACAACTGCCTTACTTAGCAATGAAAATTTTGGGTCAATTGTGGTTGTAGGTTGAGGTTGCACTTTTATGTTTTAAAACTTCCACACTACCACATTTCTACTAGAATAAGACTGTTTTATGAGATCTTATGATAAACAAGGCTTGTTTCTTTGGCGTAAGTGGATTATGCATAATTGGGGCAGAGTCCAATGGTCTAGGGAAAGGCAATTGCTGCAACTGGAAGCTGTGAACATCTACCAGCCATTGATAGCTTATGAAGCCTTAGTAAGACCACACCTGGAATACTGCATCCAGTTTTGGTCACCACATTACAAAAAAGATGTTGAGACTTTGGGAAAAGTGCAAAGAAGAGCAATTAAGATGATTAAAAGCCTGGAGACAAAAACATATGAAGAACAGCTTCAGGATTTGGGTTAGTCTAGAGAAAAGAAGGACTAGGGGGGACATGATAGCAGTATTCCAATATTTGAGAGATTGCCTGAAATTGTATAGGGTCTCCTGCTTGAGCAGGGGTTGGACTAGAAGACCTCCAAGGTCCCTTCCAGCTCTACTTTGATTCTGATTCAGATAGCTATCACGTGATAAAAAGGGATGTTCTGAAAGAAAAGGGAAAGGTAATTTTGGATCTCCTCTTACACTACCCAAAAAATCCCAAACCAAAAGCAGAGAAGAAATTTTTCCAGTTCAAGAAGTATATTTTATGTCTCCTTCCAATTTCCCCATCCAATAGTTTTACCAGCAAGGGAAGTTAGAATAAACTCCTATTTAGAAAAAGAGGAAAATGGTAGAGAAAGAAACAGCTATAACTCTCCCCTGCCTTGGATGTCTGCAGGGTACGATAAAAAAGTCACAGTGAAAGTCCTTGAATCTTCACCCGTTTTTATGTGTGTGTCATATGAAATGTAATGAAATACTACTATTAATTTTATTATTGATAAATAATAATGGATATGCAGTGTTTCAGATTTGATTTTGGAAAAAGTTTGAGAACCTGCAGGACTTAATAAATAGCTCATTAAAGCAGCTGTTTCCTTATCCTGGGATTCTGGATTGCAAAAATCATTATAACCACTAGATGGCAACCTAGTGATAGAATATTCTGAATGTATTTGCTGCCACCTAGTAGTCACATAGACTTTCTGCAGCTCAGATCTAATAGCCCAAATACACCTGGTTCTGCTTATTCCTTTCTCATATTTTTTTCTTAAAGCTCTCCCTCTCTGCCCTCCCATTTCTTATCCATGAGTGAGTAAATTCATCATCTGTTTTCAAAGACAATGCAAATAGCTGTTGTGATTGTCCATACTTGTCACATTACCAGAAAATTCCTAAACACCTACTTATACTCCAAATAGAAAGAACATTGAGAAGCCAAGTCATTGTTAAAATGAAGACAAATATTTAAGAAATTAGTTTTTCTGTTTTTTTCTCCTTTTTACTACTTGAAATTCATCTGATAGCTGGCTCATCAGAAGCTAGGCCTCCACATCCCACAATTAGCCTTTCTAGAAACTGAGTTTTAATTTGCATATAATTCAGCAAATGCTTTCTTGAAAAAGGCCTGAAGAAGAGAGAAAGCTTTTTCCATCTGTCTCCACTAAAGGAATAAACAGTAGAAGATATTTCTTGTTCATTTGCGAGATTTATATCATTTTTTGTATAGCAGCACAATGGGAACTTTGCCCCAGAACCCTAAAACGTATAGCCAGCAAGACTGGATTCACACATTGCACTGACTAACCCATTGTTTTCTTAACCGTGATATACCAAAGATACCACAACTGGCAAAGCTTTCTCAAAATCAAAGGAAATGATTAGGAGATGATTAGGGGACTAAAACATATAAGAAACGGTTGCTAGAATTGGGTATGTCTAGTTTAATGAAGAGAAAGATGGGGGGTGACATAGCAGTGTTCTAACATCTCAGGGGTTGCCACACAGAAGAGGGAGCCAAGCTACTCTCCAAAGCGCCTGAAGGCAGGACAAGAAGCAACGGATGGAAACTCATCAAGGAGAGAAGCAACCTAGAACTAAGGAGAAATTTCCTGACAGTTAGAACAATTAATCAGTGGAACAACCTGCCTCCAGAAGCTGTGAATGCTCCAACACTGGAAGTTTTAAAGAAGAGACTGGACAGCCATTTGTCTGAAATGGTATAGGGTTTCCTGCCTGAGCAGGAGGTTGGATTAGATGACCTCCAAGGTCCCTTCCAACATCATCATCATCACATGAACCCAACCTAGGTTTTGGCTAACAGGTGAGGGAGACATGCTATTTATGCTCGATTTAGACAATGAAATAAATATATATTGTACTGATAATATATCTAATGACATTCTTTCCTTCCTCTTTTGAATATTGAAAAAGAACAAGAAGAATGATTAAAGGGCTGGAAGCTAAAACATACAAAGAACGGCTACAGGAATTAGGCATGCCTATGAAAAGAAGGACTAAGGGTAACATGACAGCAGTGTTTCAATATCTGAGCGGCTTCTACAAAGATGAGGGGCTCAACTTATTCTACAAAAAAACCTAAATGCAGGACAAGAAACAATGGATGTAAATTAACCAAGAAGCAACCTAGAACTAAGGAGAGATTTCCTAATTGTGAGAGCAATTAACCAATGGAATAGTTTGCCTTCAGAAGTTGTGCTTGCTCCATTACTGGAGGCTTTGAAAAAGAGATTGGACAATCATTTGTCTGAAATTGTATAGATCTCCTGCTTGAGCAGGGGGTTGGACTAGAAGACCTCCAAGGTCCCTTCCAACTCTGTTATTTTATGTTCTATGTTTTAGAATGTTATGTTTGCAGAAGACATTGACAAGAATTTGACCTCCAAACTTGCCAGGTGAAAACACAGTTAGATCATGCAGAACAACATTTTGGCCCTAAGTGGCAAATGGAGCCCAGAACTGGCGTTTGCAACAAAGAAATTAAACCTCTCAGCCAGGGTCATTTGGCTATTTTCACCCAAAGAGTACAAAGCTGTTGAAAGGAAAAGCAACTCGGGATAAAGCCCATAGTTGGGGAAAGAAAATGGAAAGAAATGACATTTAAGATGGGAAAACATTTTTGCAAAACCTAAAGCCGCCCCCTTTTTTCTCTGTTTTATGTATCGCCATGCTGACACTCTCTTAGCAACTGTGCCTTTTGTTTGCTAGGATGAATTGCACAAGTTTTGCAAAGGCACAACAGTTAAGCGGCAGACACTGAGTCCTGGTTAAGAAGATTGCCAACAGGGAGAAAAAAAATCCAGTCTCTGCTATGAAAGGCCATTTCAGTTTACTTGGAGCATACAGCCTAATTTTTAACTCCTCCCTATCTGGCTACGAAAGAGCCATCAACTTCTACATAGCTGATTTCTTTCTTTGGGAAAGAAAAGACCCAGTTGACCCAAGAATGCGACAGAGCTGCAAAATGGGCATAATCCTACTTGTGAGCAGGGCTGGATATTTAAGGAGTATTTAATAGAGGGAGGAATTATTACTGTATTTTTTAATTGAGGTGCATAATTTATGGCTTATGCCTAATTTTCATTAGTTTACTACCTTAGAATTGTGAGAAGCTGGCTGTGGGCAGGTTTAAGCCATTTATGGTTAGAGGGGTTCTGAAGGCTGATCAAAGGGACTTGGGGCCATAGGTCATCACACCCTAGCCTAATGTTTTATGTTTTTTTTTTCTTTTAAGTATTTTGAATGCATAAAAGCTGAGTTTTCCCATTGATCATTTGATAGTCATTTTGAAAAAAAAACAACCTGATACGCTAGTACAACGTGAATAAGTGGATAAAGGAGTTACTGCCCAGTTAGTGTGCATTGTATTATTGACAAGAAGTTAACCATATGAAGCAAAGTACATTAAATTATTTTAACAAGGCAAGAAAGGATGTGAATCTCTAAGCTAAGTGCCAAAGTCTCAACTAATGTGTAATGGTTGTTTGTTTGCTTGCTTGCTTTTGAGACAGTGTTGACTCCTGGGGACAGCCAGATCCCTACAGTCTTTTGTAGGATTTCAGAAGTGGTTTTTTTTTTCTTTGTCACTTTTTTCCTAAGAATGAAAGAGAAGAATTGGCCCAAGGTCACCCAACTGGCTTTTATAGCTAAAGTGGGACTAGAATTCACGCTCTACCAATTTATAATCTGGTAACTGAACCACTACATTAAACTGGTTTTCTACAATATTTATAGACATTACATATTTTTGTGCATTTCTGATTTCAGTTCTTTAGTCAGTTCTTTTTCCCTTTATAAAACTGTATTTTAAATCCTTGTATTTGTCTTGTTATATAATATACAATATATGTGAAATCTATTCTTGCTCAAATTTGGTTAAACGTCTGTTGTGAATATCTACTGTTCATTGTGTCATTACTACACATTCTCAACTTTAATTTCCCAGTATAATAATAATAATAATAATAATAATAATAATAATAATAATAATAATAATAATAATAGAATTGGAAGGGACTTTGGAGGTCTTCTAGTCCAACCCCCTGCCTAACATTTTAGACAAATGGTTGTCCAGTCTCTTCTTAAAAGCTTCCAGTGTTGGAGCCTTCACAACTTCTGGAGGCAGGTTGTTCCACTGATTAATTGTTCTAACTGTCAAGAAATTTCTTCTTAGTTCTAGGTTGCTTCTCTCTTTGGTTAGTTTCCATCCATTGCTTCTTGTCCATTGCTTCTGATAATATTTCTCTTTTCCAATGTTGTGCTAAATTTATCATTGCAGTTATAAACATGTATCTTAGTAAACTGTGATTTTTTTTTTTGTTAATAGATTTTGGAGTTATGCCTAGGAAGAATAATTATGTTTCATTTCAAGTTTGATTTCTAAAATTTTCTGAGCAGGCATGTCTTTCCATGTGCTTTTTACATGTCCATCACATACAGTAAAAGGTTCCTTCTGTCTCATGATGTTTTCAACATGAATAATTTCTTTATCTTGGCGATTATTGACCATTTATATACCATTTGTAATACATTTAATACATTTTCTCTTTATATCTTGGGGTAGATTTTACAGATCTGTTCCATAATTCTTCTCATTGTTGGTTTGTGTTTGTTTCTTTAAAGATTTTCATCCATTTCATCATGCCATTTTTTATTTGTTCTACCTCTCTCTATATATACTGTAGATACAATCTTAGTAGGTGGTCTTGATTCCATATGAGCATGATGCACATTCTTTAAGGGAGCACTAGGGATCTTTTAATGTGCAATTTGAATCATAGTAAAAATACACATTTTATAACAAAAATGAAATCTCTGAAGGCTTATATGATAGTGCTACCAACACTTTTTTTCTGCTAAAGTTTCACTTCCAGATGAAGGATCCAGTCAGACAAGGATCCATCTACAACCACTCATCAGATGCTGTAGATGGGACATTGTGAAAGCAGAGTGGTCCTGTTACTTACTGTATGTCACTCAAGAAACAGCAGTGGAGGAAGCTAGTCCTTAGACAGGACAAATGATCTACGTTCTCATGAGCAGAGCATCCAACAGGGCTGCCTTCCAGCTTCTCCATATTCCTGACACATCGGCTTCCAAAGTTGCTGAAACACAGTGCTACATTTTTTCAAGAGGAGATGGAACAGCCCAGAGGTGCAGCAGAAATTCCCAGTGGTATTTCTTTCTTTGAAGAGCCAGAAACGAACAATATAGCAAATGACAAAGTCAAAGAAGACAAGGCTTCCATTGGCTAAACTTACATATCCCAATTTATGAAATAACTGGAACATCCTATCTGATATAGGTAAGTCCTTGACTTATGACTGGTTGTTTAACAACCATTCAAAGTTATGACAGCTCGCACGACTGCATTCTGGGCACTTGGCAAGTGGCATATCTTTATGGCTGGTTGCAGCATTCCACAGTCAAATGAAACATTTTATGATATGTAGGTCTTTGGTTATTTGGGTTTTCTCCTGCGTAAAATTGGAAGTGTCTTGGCGACGTTTCGACGAAGTCCCATTCGTCACTTGGGTATATTATATATATAATTTCTGCCATTTTAATTTATTCATTAAATTTATTTGCCACTCATTTCAATAGCGAGAGAGTTATTGGTTTTCTGCAAAAAACAACAACACCCACTGCGAATCCACTGATACCCTTAATTATGGAGGCATTTCCTATTTTTATCACCTTAATATTTATTTGTTATGTATATATAGGGGTATGGATCTGTACATATGTTGTATATAGTATGTTTAGGTGTGTGTCATGTATGTGTTTCACTTTGGGAGTGAGCAACTAAATTTCATGCCCACAGTAAAGAAAATGACAATAAAGGTTATCTTACCTCATCTCATCTCATCTCATCTCATCTATAAACTATATGATTATCCATCCACACCCACATGTGCAACCTATAAACCTCAATGGAAATGTTAGAACTTGCTAATCTTATAGAAGCAAAGTTGGAAGGAGTTATTTAGGTCTTTGAATCTAACCTTCTGTCCTCTACAGAAGTCTAGAATGAAGCATCCCAACAGACGAGAGATTCAAACATCCAGAGAAAATAATTTCATCTTCTCTTTGGATACTTTTATCCTAATGCCCAGTATAATACATACTATTATGCTATAGAATAAGTTCCATTAGAAAAATGATTTAACAATACCTTTCTGGCCACTGCTATTACATTAGTAGAATAGCACTGATCAGAATATGATAACTTTTTTAAAAAATAAGAAAAAGCTATACAGTGTACAGTGGTATTCCATTAAAGGGAATTAAACTTTTTAAAAATAGCAAGAAAAGCACTTTAGTGTTGATTAAAAGGTCTGTTTGTAAGATGAGTTGATGCACTGGCACTCACTATGAAGACTGTATTGTAAGTCATTATAAATCTACCTGCCTGTTATGACATGAGATTTATTTGAACGGGAATAAGACCAAACCTTAGCCTGTACATCTGAATATATATGCCTTGGACTAACATGCACTTCTATCATCTTTCCTCCCTTTCTTTCTCTACACATTGATAATCTTTGTTACTCCAAGACATGTAACGTATATTGAAACATTTTAGCTATCTTTCTTTGTCACCAATTATAAACCCATCGCAATCATTCAATCAAAAAAAAATCATCTAAACCCTGAAGATTACTCATATCCTTTGGGGGAGGGGAAGTGAATATGAACTGTCTTGATTCTGGTCCTTGTACAATTTTTCATGCTTTTTATTTTTTTTCATAGGTTTTGCAAAATACAAAGGTTAAAAAAAATCGTGTTTTCATTCCAGTGCTGGGAATAAAGCTAGAAGAAGTCCATGGTTGCACAAACAGAAGACCAGGAAACAGTTTAAAGAGAGGTGGATTGCAAGGTTACAAATTCATTGCCAAAAACTGAAGTCTCGAAATGAGGAGGAAAGATTGTGAAAAGAGAACCATTGCTTGCACTTGCTGACGTGCTAAGATTTGCTAAGATTTCCTTATACGTGGAAACTATTCTTCAGAGATGGACTTTGCAGACCTTTTGTTTATGAATAAAACTGATGTTCAAACAGTTTGGATGGTCTGGAATTCTTTCAGTTGGGATCCTTCCCTGGAACAATGATGGATAATAATTTGCCTTTAATGATCTTTTTATCTGTGAGCTTTTGCTCTGTTAATTTAGAAATTTTCAACCCATTCTTTACTTAGAAGTATAGTACAGAAAGAAAAAGGGGTCAAGTTATTTTCCAAAGCACCTGAAGGCAAGACAAGAAAGAATGGATGGAAACTAACCAAGGAGAGAAGCAGCCTAGAACTAAGGAATAATTTCCTGACAGAACAATTAATCAGTGGAACGGCTCACCTCCAGAAGTTGTGGGTGCTACAACACTGGAAGTTTTTAAGAAGAGGTTGGACAGCCACTTATCTAAATAGTATAGGGTCTGCTGCTTGAGCAGGGGGTTGGACTAGAACACGGGTGTCAAACTCACCACGTCAGGTGACGTGTCGCAATGTATCACAACTTTTTTTGCATTGCCGGAGCTGGGGTAGGTGCAGCCTCCATATGATGCAACCGGCCCGCGGGCTGGCAGTTTGACACCTCTGGACTAGAAGATCTCCAAGGTTTAACCAACCCTTAAGATATATTTGGAAAGGTGCTCCATGAAATATCACAATTCCAAACTGGGGCTTTCAACAACATTCTGGACCTAGAGCTGAACTTGAAACATGTTGGCAACTGATGATATTCTTTTATAACCTGTGAAAAACACTTTCTACAGTAGGTTGCCTACAATCTTGCAGCTGCATTCTTTACTAGGTATATACCTTTGAAGTATCCGCAAGGGATGGATGGAGTTTGCAATCAGAAATGCATGCCAACTACACCTGGTACCTAAATATCTCATTTATTCTGCAACATTTCTAACCTGCCATACTCTCAGCTGACTCTAGCTAATGGATGGTAGAACAAAAACAATACAATTTAAACAATCTACAGTTTCTGATTAAAAACTACCATACTGCTACCATTCAGCTTGAACCAAGTTCACAAATGAAGTGAAATTGGTTTTACCTGCTGCAAAAATCTAGGAGGGTTGGAGTTGCAAATGATCAAGGACACAGCCAGTGAGATTAAGATGCTGGACAAGGAATAGAGAGACTCAGATTCTAGTTCTCCCTTCAGCACAGAAACCAACTAGGGACAGTCCATTTCTTTGGGAAATCAAACGATATCTATCCACCAATCCACATTGGCCCAGTGTCATATAACCTCCATAACCTTCCATGAAAAGTCCTCCAACTTGCCTTGGATTGCTTTGGGGCAGTGTTTCTCAACCTTGACCACATGGAGGTGGATGGACAACTCCCAGAATTCTGGGTGGCTGGAGGGATTTTGGACTCTATGAAATGCAGAGGCTTTTCCAAAATGCAAGAAAATCCAAAAGATCCAAGAAGGCTAAGCCATTTTCAGATAAGGCTGTCGAAAGCAGTGTTTCTCAACTCCCAGAATCCCCTGACTGGTTGGGAATTCTGGGAGTTGAAGTCCATCCACCTTCAAGTTATCAATAGCAATAATTTAGAATAATAATGATGTCCACTGCTTACTGTATGTATCATTCTTCCCCAACTGACAATCTTGCAAATATATTCTGATTGCAACTTCCATTCCCCTCAGAGCATGTGCCTAACAGTTTAGATCAGTGGAAGATAAACTGAATAGGACAGGCTGGCTGAACAGAGCCTTTAGTTTGTAAAATCCTTTAGCTTGGAATATTCTACAGTAGTCACAGTCAATCTCCATCTGATTTTAAGCAGTAGATAATTCCCTAGACCTAAACCTGTTCTTTTTCTCCTTGAAAACTCCCCCTCTTTTGCAGAATCTTCTATTTTCTCTTGATCTGACCAGTAATTTATTTTTGTAGTGAAATGGCCAAATATAAATGTACAGGAAAATAAGTTTGTATTCTTCTTTTGACTCTGATCCTGAAGTGTTTATTTATTTATGAGACTTATATACCGCTTTAAGTGCAAGCACTCTCTAAGCGGTGTACACCAGTAAGCAATGTATATATATATATATATATATATATATATATATATATATATATATATATATATATATATATACATTGCCCCCAACAATCTGGGTCCTCACTATACCTACCCCGGAAGGATGGAAGGCTGAGTCAACCTTGAGCTGGTGAGATTTGAACCGCTGACCTGCTGAACACAGTCAGCTAAAGTGGCCTGCAGTACTGCACTCTAACTGCTGCGTCACCTCGGCCCAATTTATTTATGACATCAGGAGATCACCATCTCCCTGCCTCTCTTCTTGAAAAGTCTCCCTTGGCCTTGCAAACTTTGGTAGAAGTTTACTTTTTTCTCTCTCAGCCAATGTGCTCTCTAAAATAATGCTTGCTAAACTTGGCAACTTGAAGATGTGTGGACTTCAACTCCCAGAATCCCCCACCAGAAATGGAATTTGAGAAACTGAGAAACGCTGCTCTAGACAGACTTAATCTGAGAATTTGAAGGTGTGCTTGGGTTCTCTAAAGCAGGGCTTCCCAAACTTGGCAACTTGAAGATGTGTGGAGTTCAACTCCCAGAATTCCCAGCTAGCAAGGGAATTCTGGGAGCTGAGAAACACAACTCTAGACAGACATATCTGAAAATGGTTTAGCCCGTTTATTTAAAAATAAATTGTAGTTTGGAAAAGTCTCTGTGCATTTCATAGAGTCCAACACCTCTTTTTACATTAGATCCCAAGCATTATTGTAACAGCATAGGAATTGCCAAGAGTTATTAAGGAATTGTTTCTTTTTCATATATAAGCCTGAAGCTGGTCCGTCACTTCACAAGAGTGAATTTTGGAGTAAATTGGGCAGAAGCAGATTTCAGAGCAAAAGGTGTTTTTCTCTCTTGCACTGGAAAAAAATTGTGGGCCAAAAGACTTGCTAAGGCCCCACCTGCAAGAGAGTGCCATCTCCAGGGATCTTGTAACAATGCCTTCTCAGTGGTGGTCCCTTCCTATGGATTAGATTGACACATCTTGGATCTCTGCCTCCTTGGTGAATTCCTGTTACAATAGATGGCTTTGACAGAATGCTGAGATTTAACATTTCTCTGATGGAGTTGATACTGCTTTTTAGAGTTTATATGATTGGTATTCAGTGGGGTTCTAAATTCCTTTTCTAGTGATTGTATGCTGCTCTATGCTGCAGGAACAGAGCAGCACAGAAAAATATATAGAAGAAAGAGATAGGAAAGAAAGAAAAGGAGGGAGAAAGGAATAAGAAAGAGAATGAGAGAATCTATATATGTAGATTCCGCAGGAATAATGAGGCAGATGCAGTGTCCTGGGATCACTTTTTGAGCTTTCAGAGCAAAATGGAATTGAGCACATCAGCCTACTAAACCTTCTTTGTTTAAGTGTTCTAATTTCATATGCCGCCTACCCTTAGTCATGTGAAGGTCTGCCAGTAAAGCAGAAAGATCATTAGATAGTTTAAACTATTTAGATTGGGGCTGTTTTCTTCAGTACTATTTTTGTAACAATGCTAAGATTAGGCAACTGGGTAGAGAAACTTTTAAAAAAAATCAAGCTGTGCCATCTGCTATCATTTTGGCTTCATGGAATTCTTCAGTCATCCTTACTGGGAAACACCATTCCCCTCCCCTCTCTCTCCCCCTCCCTCCCTCCCTCCCCCTCTCTCTCTGAGTTCACATTAAGTAAAAACTGACAGGGGCCACAGAACCACTGAATCCACTTCTCTGTTCCAATTAATGCATCCCAGTCAGACAACTGTCCAGCCTCTCTCCTTGAATTTATTCAGCGACCCATCTCTCTGGGTCTTAATACATTTTCTCATTCTACACACTTTTTTAGATTAGGATAGGAAACCTTTCACTAACTTAGAGTGAGGGGCCACACACCGATTTTTGCTTTGTATGTGGTATAACGAATGCTGCAACAGACAAGGCAATGATAGAACCAGTCTGGGATCACATCACAAAAATTACGTGATTTTTCTTTTCTATTTTGGCTTTGCTTTTAATAGAAGGCTTGGGAAGGACCACCGAGGACATGAGAGCCCAACTCCTTGCTCAGTGGAAAAATCTGAATACAAATAGTCCTTGACTTATGACCGTAGTCGGGACCAGAACTTCACTCCATTCCACTCCACTCCATTCCAATCCAATTGAAAAAGGAGGTTATTAAGTAAGTTGCACCCAATTTTATGAACTGTTTTGTTCAGTCATTAAGCGGATTTGGCTTTCTTCACTCAAGTTGCTTGTTAGAAGCCAGCTGGGAAGGTCACAAATGGCAATCACATGACCCTGGGATACTGCAACTATCGTAATTACATGCTAGTTGCCAAGCACCTAAATTTTGATTACGTGACCGTAAGTGTAACGACTGGACTTTTTCCAAGACCATCATAACTTCAAAGAGTCATAAAACAAAGAGTCATAGCTGAGGATTGCCCATATAGCATTCCAGACAAAGGGCTGCCGACTTCTAACTTCCCAAGAAAGTTAAACCACATGCAGGGATGCAAAGGGCAGTTTCTGATTTGGAAAGTAAAGATTGTGGGTCACTGACACTTAACTGTAACACAAATAGACTGGGACAAATCTTTTTTCTGCCATGTTCCAGAACACTGCAGATGTCTCCATGCTGTTCATCTCATTCCCAGCTCATGAGCAACATAGGCTTAAGTTGTGAAGGTGGTTTTTCCCCATTATTCCAGCATATCCAGGACAGTATCAAAATATGTAAGGTCTGTTAGGTTTTGTTACTTGTTAGTAACCAATTAGTAACCTATTAGTTTGAAGGAAAATTGGGCCCCTGTCAGTGACTAGCTACAGAGGCAGGAAAAGGATTCACAATATGAGCAGCAGATTTTATGCTAGGATAGTTTTCTGCCAACTCAAAGATGGATGGAGAACTTAAAGATGGATACAGAACACTTTGACATGGGGATCGGGAAAAACTCTTAATAAAAGTTACAGTCAGCGAACCAAGCAAACTTTAGCTTTAGCGTTTTTCTATAGGCCTATAGCAGCGTGACT